CCGATGCGCGCACAGATGCCATCCATACAATACAAATACAACATGGCCTTATTAACAATCACATAAACTATGAAGCCATACATTGAATAAGCTATACATATAATATGATTATCATAACCTTTATTTTTAAAATCATGCCAGTGAGCTAATTGCATGTACAGAGTGAAAGAAAGTAAAGTAAAGCAGTAGAATTTCTGTACTAGCTATGATAGTACTTTCATATGGTTCGTCCTCATCGTCATCATTCAATGTGGTCTATCTCTTGCTACTAGTGACTGGTAATACCTCTGTAGATTCTTCACACTGGCAGAGTACCGTACTCCTTCTCTCTTGTCAGCTCAATTACTTTTGTGACAACATACAAAGTGTATTTTAGTTTGTATGTTGGAAAATACAAAAGACTAACATTCTAAGTTATTGACATTCTTGAGTAAGAACAATCTAGTTTTTGAATAGTTAAAAGCAAAACAACGAAAATAAAAAAATGTTGTAATTGTTAAAATGCAGAATTGTTAAAATCGTTAAAACTGATAAAATTGTTAAAAATTATAAAATTGTTAAAAATGTTAAATTGCTAAAAATATTTATGTCCGATGCACTGGGGTTCGAACTTGCAATGCCTGGGATTGCCGCCTTGCGCGTTTCCAACCGAGCTAACTCGGTGCGATACACATCACTCACTGCATTGTATGTCATAAAAAGTAAACAGCATGGCGGTATTGATCGCCTAAAGCCACCAAGACTTTCAACTATTAACTACGGGGTTTCCTTCCTTATCAGGTTTGCTTTTGAACCACCTTGATGTTACTTAACTATCAACCCGGCTAGCAGAAGCCGCCGGCTCCTTTGATATTACAGCCGCTCCCTGTCCAATCTTGTTTACACGCCGGGCGCAGGTCATTGACCTCCAACTTGCGTTGTTCCAACAGAGAAGAGCAAAATGTCTGGCTCCCGCAGAACGTACCGCACTCTCCCGCTGGACGTACCGCACTCTCCCGCAGAACGTATCGCACTCTCCCGGAGGACGTCCTGCACTCTCCCGAGGGAAGTCCCGCACAGCGTCCTGCACTCTCCCGCAGAACGTCCCTCGAAAATTGATGCGTATTTCGTGGCCTGTGCTGTACCTACCAAAACACTTGAGTTCATACTGTCAAAATGGAATGGCTTTGAACAGGTGTTAATTGAGTTAATCCAATCAAATCCAACAGCCAATCAGCAAGAAGAAAAGATTAGGCTGCGTCAGGTTCATGCTTGCATGCCCATTTATGGGCATGCCGCCGAATTTCTTTCTTATTACGTCACGCGCGTACGCCCCCACACAGTACTTTCCTATGGGGACCGCTAAAAAAGCAAATAAAACGATTGTAAAAGCTTGTATCACAAAAATTTAAAAAACGCCTAGGGGTATTTGCCCACTGTACCTCCATACCAAATTTCAGGACCTTAGGCCCTAAAATGAAGAAGCTGAATCCATTTAAAGAAATGGCAGGAGGAGGAGGAGAAGGAGAAGAAACATCAGAAAAAGCAATATGGTTTCACCACACCACTTCGTGGTGTGGTGAACCCATAATAACCTCCTTGGCTGAGGCAATGACACGTATTACAACTTTTGCAGTGTTGAACATGTCTGTTCTACTGTCAACACATGTACAGTTTACACAAAAAGCATTACAGCATACACACGTTGTACATTGTACCTTCCTTTTGTTCCTCTTTGCTGTGCCAATTTACCGTAATGGACAAATGAATTCGTTCAAGCTGTGCGGCGCAGTTTGGGCTCATTAACTCGGCAGATATGATTAGCAGCGATCATTCAGCGGCGGAGATCAGCGCACAGTTAGTTCACATTAGCCCGATTCACGTAATCAAATCACATAATGCTCTACCAACAGTTCCATCAAGACAAACTGTTTGTAGAGACTATAATGTATTGTATCCATTTAGAGTTTCGCTTGGCTGGGTCTGATTATAACCATTTTGTGGCTCCCTCAGTAGGGAAATTTGAGACGTTTGATTAGCACAGTCACATTAGGTTGAACCTGCCACAATGGGTGCTTACTTTGCATAATGTACTTTGGCTATCAACACATTAGTTTATTGTTGGAAAGTAATACTGATTTATGTGTCTCCTTTATTCAGACAAAATGTGTGGGTAACTTGGATGTGATTTCGCTTAAAATTGGCATAATGGCTGAGCCATATGTACTTTGGGCTTGTCAATTATTGCAACATGTTGTGTAAGGGCCTACTATAGGTTTATAAAAAGCAGTTACCGCTACTGTTTAATAGATGTTTGAGAGCATTAAAAAGGTATTTTATTTTACATATTGTAAGTGACTTATTTTCCTAGCCTGGTATTCAAACATATTGCAGAGAGGAAGAAAGAGACATGGCAGGTTTAATAGTTTAGGATACCAGGTTCAACTTCCAGCATTTTGTCAAGGGAACACATCTAATTTAAAAAAAAAACCTCCCCCCATGCAGGACCTCCCACAAATCAGATGTCACCCAGGCTATGAAGCATCAGGGTAAAAAAAACTGTTCCCAAACTGAACTTTTTTTTATATGTTTTTACTCAAAATAATTAACTTTTCTACTTCTGTCCTTCAGGAGGAGAGATAGAGAAGCCCATCTCACTGGGAGAGTCAGGAGAGGTGTTTGAAGAGTGGCTGGAGCTCAGGAACGGATGTCTCTGCTGCTCTGTCAAGTATGTTCTACAGGCTGTAATCTTCAATAGCTGATCACTCCTGCTAGACAAGTGTTTGGGCATCTTTGGCTTTGCCACTGGGAGGTTTTAACCAATCAAGTTAAGTTTTCCTGCTGTTCCATTGGTGGGCCTACGCTCAAATACTGAGCATTTGACTGACAGGTCTACCTCATCAAACCAGACCCCTGCACAATGGATAACTGCTTTGAGCCTGCTGTGCTATGGGTCTGGCATCCAGGCTAATGTCCAATATATTTTCTTCAGAACATCAACAGTGCCTCAAAACCTCCAAGAAATGTCATTAAGTTACAGAAATCATCCTTTAACACAGAGTAAGGTGTCAGTGTACTTTCACTGTTTTTAGTTGCAGTTTGAACTGCAAGAAATAACATTTTAGAAGGTTAGACATTCCCAAATTATGGAGCCAATGCCAATGTTAGAGTCTACACACCACCTGCATGTACCAGTAAATATATGATTGTCCATTCTCTATAGTACTATCTAATTTTCAGTCAAAGTTTCTGCCATCATCCAAGTAGTCGACTTGGTTGTGCCCAGCCCTTACCTTTAGATATATGTGAGAAGGTAACTGTTACACCATGTCAACTCCCTGAGCACCAATAGCAGGAGAACTTGGACCCAACAATGGCTCCTTGTCTCACCTAACTCCACTGCCAGCTGGTGCACTGGTGATCTATGGTGGGAGGCCTGGTCCTGATTTTCCTTGGCAGGGGTACCAGGGGCAAGGTGACAAGTGCCCAGCCCACCACCACCTTCCCTAATGCCTCCCGTTTCTATCTGTTTACAATCTAACACAAACTGTCAGCCCAGCTCATCCAATCTAAACACAACAGAGATTTCTGGGCCAGATGGGGCATCGCTAACAAATCCTAACACATGTCGGCCTACATTTCAACCAAGGACCCTTCTAGTAGCTACTTCACCATCCGTCCTGTCTCAAAAACTTGTGAGCAGACTTGTAGGTCAAGTCCAGCCTTTCCTTGACTTTCACCTTGTCTTGAAGAATCGTGCCTTTCTTGGCTGGGGAGGTCAGAGTTTTCTGGCCGCCCACGGTGCAGGGCTGTGTGGAGTGTTGTCCCAACCTACGAAAGACCATAGGAACAAAACGTTAAACAGACGACAAGCTTAAACAGACGACGAGCTTAAACAGACGACGAGCTTAAACAGACGACGAGCTTGCTTAAACAGACAACGGGCTGGCTGAAACAGACGACGAGCTTGCTGAAACAGACGACGAGCTTGCTGAAACAGACGACGAGCTGAAACAGACGACGAGCTAGCTGAAACAGACGACGAGCTAGCTGAAACAGACGACGAGCTAGCTGAAACAGACAACGAGCTGAAACAGACAACGCGCTTGCTGAAACAGACGACGAGCTGGCTGAAACAGACGACGAGCTGGCCGAAACAGACGACGAGCTGAAACAGACGACGAGCTGGCTGAAACAGCGAAGGAGCGACGCTCCCGCTCCAAGGCTGGAAACCCTGGCTCCTTGTATAGTGTACGGTCCCTTCTGAGTGACACCAGATGCTGTCTATGGCCCTGTTCAGACGGAATCAGTGAACGCGCCTTACATGTGTTGATGATATGAATGGTATGAATGTTAGACATCCAGGTAAACAATACTCATAGGAAATTCAAACTCCTACTACTGGATAAGTTATGGAGATAATATCCGGACGTTTCAAGTGACATTCACCACTCTTCTTTAGCGTCACTAAAGAGCTAACGTTAACTTTGTTAATTGATTTGTTTATTGCAAATTCATGCCCGAGGGCTAATCGCATACATACATTGACAAGAAAAATGTGGTGATATAAAACTATTTGCTAACATGAACTTCTACGTGTACGACATACTTATCATACTTATGAACTTGACCAATAAGGCGAGAGCGCACGTACACACACAACAAACCTACACATACTAATCAATACAAGGTGGAAGGATGGCAAAATGTCAGCAACTAACTTATTGTGTGGTGGAAAGTTGTAGAAAGTATGGAGGTGGAAAGTCAGAAAGGCGAAATTGTTCAGTTCATTACGACCAGTACAGTAAACAGACAGCCAGGCAGGCAAGCACATTTTTCAACTCGATGTGAAAAGTGTTATAATCTGACAGACAAAAGAGTGTCATTCTTTGATGGGCACCCCGAAGGTGCTATAAACCGAACGACCCCTGATGGGTTTTATAGCGGGAAGATGGTGACGGCTGTTTAGAAGTGGAGAGTCTGTTTAGAAGTGGAGAGTAGCTCAATTGTGCTTTTATCGTGTTCTGTTAACTCCCAACCCATTTATTTTTCAAAGAGTCCGTTAATTCATCTCCCACTGCCTCCTGAGATTAAGTCAAACCCCCTAATAGCATGACAAGAATAGCTTAATAGAATAGAACGAATTAGAATAGCAGTTACCTTGTTCCTATTACCTGTTCTCATATTGCATACTAGTATTTACTTTTTTTTATCCTGTATGTGTCGTTCGTCCGTCAGGTTGACGAGGACCTGTATGTATACCAACGTTATTAGATTTAAGTACAGATAGTAGGTTCGATAAGTATGTCGTACACGTAGAAGTTCATGTTAGCAAATAGTCTTATATCACCACATTTTTCTTGTCAATGTATGTATGCGATTAGCCCTTGGGCATGAATTTGCAATAAACAAATCAATTAACAAAGTTAACGTTAGCTCTTTAGTGACGCTAAAGAAGAGTGGTGAATGTCACTTGAAACGTCCGGATATTATCTCCATAACTTATCCAGTAGTAGGAGTTTGAATTTCCTATGAGTATTGTTTACCTGGATGTCTAACATTCATACCATTCATATCATCAACACATGTAAGGCGCGTTCACTGATTCCGTCTGAACAGGGCCATAGACAGCATCTGGTGTCACTCAGAAGGGACCGTACACTATACAAGGAGCCAGGGTTTCCAGCCTTGGAGCGGGAGCGTCGCTCCTTCGCTGTTTCAGCCAGCTCGTCGTCTGTTTCAGCTCGTCGTCTGTTTCAGCCAGCTCGTCGTCTGTTTCAGCCAGCTCGTCGTCTGTTTCAGCAAGCGCGTCGTCTGTTTCAGCCAGCTCGTCGTCTGTTTCAGCAAGCGCGTCGTCTGTTTAAGCTCGTCGTCTGTTTTAGCTCGTCGTCTGTTTTAGCTCGTCGTCTGTTTCAGCAAGCTCGTCGTCTGTTTAAGCTCGTCGTCTGTTTAGCTCGTCGTCTGTTTAGCTCGTCGTCTGTTTCAGCTTGTTGTCTGTTTCAGCTAGCTCGTCGTCTGTTTCAGCTAGCTCGTTGTCTGTTTCAGCTCGTCGTCTGTTTCAGCAAGCTCGTCGTCTGTTTCAGCCAGCCCGTTGTCTGTTTAAGCAAGCTCGTCGTCTGTTTAAGCTCGTCGTCTGTTTAAGCTCGTCGTCTGTTTAAGCTTGTCGTCTGTTTAACGTTTTGTTCCTATGGTCTTTCGTACCAACCTGGTAGCTATTACAGAGTGTGACAGGAGGATATAGCAACAACACATCATGTCCCCCAGATCAGGTGTGATAGCATTATTAATTGGATAAACTTTATTTCAACACCAGGAAGGCTTCAGCAGCCAGAGAGGGTCCCTGCTGTTAGTTTATCAGCACTAGGGGGAACATGTGGTCATGGAGGGGTAGAGGTGACTGACCAGGAAGGAATATAAGGTGGGGGGGGGGATGAGTAAAAAGGTTGGCAAGGAAATTCCATGGCCCAGTTTATGTGATCTTTCATTTTGATTTTCTTGATTTTTTTTCACCTCTTTTGTCACAACTTCTGAGGTTTGTTTTCCTCCAGGTAGTTTGGTCATCCTTATTATATCCCTAGGGCCACACCAATTTAATTTGTTGGTTCTCGGATTCGCCTCTTCTGATTTGCAAAAAAAAAAAATACATTCTGGTACTGAATCAACTCAAAAAGCCCCCAACAGTTGAGGAATGTCCCTTTCTTCCTACATGTATTTGTTACAGTTTTAATTTGGGACCACATTAAACCATACATTAGATACAGCTCTGCTTCTACTTACCTGGCTCTAGATCACTACTACTAATATTATTAGACCACACTTGTTTGGCATATCTTCAACAGGTTCAAGTTGATGGGGAGTGAGAACTGTAGACGCACTTAATTTGGTGGTCATACCTTTCAAACTTTAGATTTATGAAATACTACGTATGTCATAGTGTCTTTTTCTCTCTCCTTCCTTGCCCCATCCTCTTGTGCATGTGACTAGGACATAGGACATAAGAGGAAGAATGACTTAGAATTTGAAGTTTTACACATACAAGCAGTGATACAAATTTTGATATGGACATGATCATGAATACAAGTTAGGTGAGCAACAAAATGTCATCCCCCATGATCTATTAGCAAGGTCACTGTCCAATGGACCATGTATATGCAGCTATAAATGATACAAAAGTTGTCATCCTTGAGTAGAAGCAGGTGTGTCACAGATGAAGATGTTCCCACTGTCAGGTTTGCCCACCACCTGCTGAGGTTATGTTAAGGATTTATGCGAGGATGACAGTAAAGGTTTGCAGGAAGTCTCCAGCTGGCAGAAGTGCTGATGTAGTTTTTGGAAGGTGTGGTGTGTCTGGGCGAGGCTAACCCAGGTGTTGATGGGGCACCCTGTTCCCACATTCGTCTCTGTCAGGCCAGGCCACAACAACAGTCTGGTTCTCATCAGTTTACTCCCAATCACTCTACCAGGTGGTTAGGTACTCTCCTCCACCTTGTGGATAGTTGAACCTTTTATTTGTGCTAGCACAAAAGAAAACTGTCACTCCTACTAATCCTAGTCTTCGCCAGGGAACATGAGTCAATACAGAGGTGGATTTTCATGCTGTAACAATCACTTCCACCTGTCCTTGATGACTAGAATCATAGTGTACAAATCTAGTCAGAAACTAGAAAGGTAACATTTGCAAAGAAAATGCATCATGTTTACTTTCGCATATGGTCTGCTCCGTTAATTCTTACTCAAACACCTTCATATATGTGGTCAGACAGGAGTTTAAATCCTTCCTGCTATAGAATTGCAACATGATGTAACCCCACACTGGTTACCATGGTGACAGACATCTCGTTCAGGTCATTGACCTTATTGATTTGGAGAAGAAGAAGAGGAAACGGAGCAAAAACTATGTTTTCCTTCGGTAAACATAACAAGGCTATGGCAGGGCAAAAGCAACAATACAGTTTCATGCTACGAAATATGGTATACAGCTTATTCATACAGATACAGATACATGTTACATATTGTGTATTTATAAGGTCATCAGTGTGTAACACCCCCTAAAAAATTATTAGCCAGTGTGTTACAGTACAAGAAACCAGCAAGGCAACTGAAGTCATCCGATCAATACAATTCAGAGGCAAAGTAGTTAAGACGTGAAGAAAAATGATTATTGAGAAGAAGCACAAATTGGGCCAAGGAGAGCAGGGAAGGGTGAAGTCTCACATAAACTACCTTCAGCCTGTAACAAATGAATCTGCCACCTGTGAATAAGGTTTGTGTTTCACTCCAGGAGAGACCACAGTTTCCTTGGAAGGACCAGAGGAAAGGGTCAGTGTCTTTAAGACAATGTGTTTCTGAAGACACATGCACCTGTTCGAAGTAATGATG